TGACAAGATTCCTTGCCCTTTTAAGGCTGAATAATATTCCATTGTGTGTGTGTACCAAATTTTGATTATCCATTCATCCTGTGATGGATATCTGGGTTGCTTCTTCCTCCTGGCTATTGTGAATAGTGCCGTGGACATGGGTGTTCAAATATCTCTTTGAGACGCTGCTTTCAATTCTTTTTTTGACTATATACCCAAAGTGGGATTGCTAAGTCATACGGTAGTCCTATTTTAAACTTTTTGAGAAGCTGCCATACTGGTTTCCAAAGTGGATGCACCATTTTACAATCCCACCAACAATGCTCAAGAGTTTGAACTTCTCAATTCCCAAATACTTGTTATTTTTTGTTCTTGTTTTTTTTTTTTTAAGTAGCCATCCTAATGGGTGTAAGATAATATCTCAATGCAATCTGTATGATGAAAACTATAGAAAACTTATGAAGGAAATTGAAGAAGACACAAAGAAATGGAAAAACATTCCATGCTCATGGATAGGAAGAATAAATATAGTTAAGATGTCATTACTACCTAAAGCACTCTACACATTCAATGCAATTCCAATCAAAATTGCACCAGCATACTTCTCAAAACTAGAACAAACTATCCAAAAATTTGTATGGAACCACAAAAGACCCCGAATAGCCAAAGTAATACTGAAAAATAAAACCAAAACGGGAGGTATCACCATCCCAGACTTCAGCCTCTACTACAAAGCTGTCATCCTCAAGACAGTATGGTATTGGCACAAAAACAGACACATAGACCAATGGAACAGAATTGAGAACTCAGAAGTGGACCCAAAAGTATACAGCCAACTGATCTTTGACAAAGCAGGAAAGAATATCCAATGGAAAAAAGACAGCCTTTTTAACAGATGGTGTTGGGAGAACTGGACAGCAACATGCAGAAGAATGAAACTAGATCATTTTCTCACACCATGCACAAAAATCAACTCAAAATGGATAAAGGACCTGAACGTGAGACAGGAAACTATCAACACCCTAGAGGAGAAAGCAGGAAACAACCTCCTTGACCTCCACCGCAGCAACTTCTTACTTGACACATCCCCAAAAGCAAGGGAATCAAGAGCAAAAATAAACTGTTGGGACCTCATCAAGATTAAAAGCTTCTGCACAGCCAAGGAAACAACCCAGAAAATTAATAGGCAACCAACGGAATGGGAAAAGATAGTTGCAAATGACATATCAGATAAAGGGTTAATATCCAGAATCTATAAGGAACTCACCAAACTACACGCCCGAAAAACAAACAACCCAGTGAAGAAATGGGCAGAAGACATGAACAGACACTTCTCCAAAGAGGACATCCAGATGGCCAACAGACACATGAAACGATGCTCAGCATCCCTCCTCATCAGGGAAATACAAATCAAAACCACACTGAGATACCACCTCACGCCAGTCAGAGTGGCTAAAATGAGCAAATCAGAGAACTCTAGATGCTGGCGAGGATGTGGAGAAACGGGCACCCTCCTACACTGTTGGTGGGAATGTAAACTGGTACAGCCCCTCTGGAAAACAGTGTGGAGGTTCCTCAGGAAACTAACAATAGAACTCCCTTATGACCCAGCAATAGCACTGCTAGGAATTTACCCAAGGGATACAGAAATGCTGAGGCATAGGAGCACATGTACCCCAATGTTCATAGCAGCACTCTCCACAATAGCTAAAACATGGAAAGAGCCTAAGTGTCCATCAACAGATGAATGGATCAAGAAGATGTGGTTTATCTATACCATGGAATACTACATGGCAATGAGAAACAATGAAATCTGGCCATGTGTAGCAACATGGATGGACCTTGAGGGTGTTATGCTGAGCGAAATAAGTCAGGCAGAGAAGGACAAATACCATATGTTTGCACGTATAGGAGGATTAGGAGGAACTTGACGGAGGAACAAGGGGGAGAAGAAGGGCGGAAATGGTGGGGGAAAGGGAGAGAGGCAAACCATGAGAGACTCTTGAATGCTGACAAAAACTGAGGACTGATGGATGTGGGGGGGAGGGGGAGATGGGCATGAAGGAGGGCACTTTGGGGATGAGCACTGAGTGTTATGTAGAAACTAATTTGACAATAAACTATTTGTAAAAAAAAAAAAAAAAAAAAAAAAAGATAATATCTCAATGCAGGGTTTGTTTTTTGTTTTTGTTTTTTTTGAAGTATAGTTGACACACAATGTTACAATAGTTTCAGGTGTACAACATAGGGATTGGACAAGTCTTTACATTATGCTAGGCTCACCACAAGTGTAGTTACCCATCTGTCACCATACGACACTATTACAGTACCATTGACTATATTCCCTATACGTGCCTTTTATTCCCATTACTTTATTCATTCCATAACTGGAAGCCTGTACCTCCCACTCCTCTTTACCCATTTTGCCCACTTCTCCTCTATCCTCCCCTCTGGCAACCAACAATCTGTTCTCTGTGGGTCTGTTTCTTTTGGGTTTGTTCTTAGATTCCAAATATAAGTGAAATCAAATAGAATTTGTCTTTCTCTATCTGACTTATTTCACTTGGCATAATACCTTCTAGGTCCATCCATGTTGTCCCAAGTGGCAAGTTCTCATTGTTTTTTATGGCTGAGTAATATTCCTGTGTGTGTGTGTGCGTGTGTGTGTGTGTGCGTGTGTGTGTGAAGGAGAGAGACAGAGAGATGTTTTTTATGCATTCATCTGTGGATAGACACTTGGGTTGCTTCCATATCTTGGCTATTGTAAATAATGCTGCAATAAATATAGGGGTTCAGGGGTGCCTGGGTGGCTCAGTTTTAAGCATCTGACTTTGACTCAGGTCATGATTTCACAGTTCATGGGTTTGAGCCCTGCATCGGGCTCTGTGCTGACAGCTCAGACCCTGAAGCCTTCTTCAGATTCTGTGACTCCCTCTCTCTCTGCCCCTTCCCCATTCATACTCTGTCTTTCTGTCTCTCTCTCTCTCAAAAATTAATAAGACATTTAAAAACAAACAAACAAACATAGGGATTCATATATCTTTTTGAACTAGTGTTTTCATTTTCTTTGATTAAATAACCTGTAGTGGAACGACTGGATCGTGTGGTATTTCTACTTTTGATATCTCAGTGTAGTTTTGATTTTCATTTTTCTCATGATTAGTGATATTGAGCATTTTTTATATGCTTTTTGGCCATTTGTATATTGTCTTTGGAGAGATGTCTATTCAAATCCTTTGTCTTGTTACGGCTCTATCCCTTGGGCCTAGAATATTCAACACATAGGTACTCAATAAATGTTAAATGAATAGTTGAAAGACAACCTTGAAATTCAAGGAAGGCCTTAGCTCAAAGGAATGCTCTGATGGGAATTGCAAGCCCCTATGACAGACCAGGGTAGAGAACTATTTGTCCTTTAAGTGCTTCTAAAATCACATGAAGTCTGCTCAGCTCCACTAAATAGAATCAACTTTAAGCACTGACATTTCAGGCAGACGGTGATCCAAGACTTAAAGGAAACAGATGCCTGCAGGTGATTGCTGTCCAAACTCCTTAGACTTCCTACATAAAGCTCTTCATCCCTTAGCTCTAGACTCATTTTTCCTGCTACTTGCCTCCTCCTACTCTGATCTCTAGCTACCTGAATGACTTGCAGTTCCTGACTATTTGACTCCTTGTCTTTTAGATTTTAGCTTAAGTGCCACTCCCCTCCAGGAAGCCATCCTTGATTCACAATCCCAAGATTGGACAAGTTGCCTCTCCTTGTGCTCTCACAACACCTTGCTCTCACTCCAATAGTGGTTATCAGCACTCTGTGTTAGAACCTTCTGTTCATTTTTCATTTTCCTCATGCTTAGACTTGAGCTCCTTGAGGGCAGGCCCTGGTCCTTCTTGTGTCCTCAGTGCCTAGCTCAGGGCCTGGCTCCTATAAAAGCTCTGTTAATATTTGTTGAGTGAAAGAGTTAATGAATGTACTGTTAAAATCAAGATTCATGAAAGAGTCTGAGGGTGTGGTGGTTGAAAAGTACTTCAGAGGTCATTGTCTCTGTAAGATGTTCCCATCCACAATGTTTTCCTGAAACCATTTTTCATGATTGTTAGGCAACAACTACAGAATGAAATAATTATATGTTACTTCCAGGTCCCTGCTGTTAGGGTTCTCCTGGTTCTCAGCCCACTCTTTAATAGGACCATCAACCTACTATGCAATTCTCACCACACCTTCTCTCCCTCTGATCAATTACACTTACCCTTTTGTTTATATATAATAGAAGTATTTATTTAATGTCTGTGCATTTAATATATGCCCAACACAGCGGTCTTAGTCAGGTAGCAGTGCCTGGAGGGCGGGTGCATCCTGCCTTTCTCCATCCCAAATTTGGTGTAGTGCCATGAGAAAGCAGGTGCTTCTGAGAGGAGATAATGATTGGAGTGGGCTTTGTGTTCAGAATAAGGATACACACAAGCTATTGCCAGTATAAGGGTCTCCATTTCCTACGAAAAGTCTACTTCACTGCATTATCAGCTGGCATTATCTCTGGAACCACAGTCATTCGAGGTCCATCAGTACCACAATGCACTGGCAGACTTAGAGGCAAGAGGGTAGAAGGATTAAGGGACATCTTGGATGTGATATGGAAAGGGATTCAAAGGGAGGCCAAATGAGAAATCTCACTTTTTCCCCAAGATACAAAGAGGTAGTATGTAGAAACATTTACAGAGGTTTTGGTTTTCATAACTAGATCATGACTGACACACTATCTGTAAGAACTTTAATTACCTGTTGACATGTTTGTTGTCTGTAGCCCCCCCACCACCAGTAGGATGTAAGCTCCATGGGGGCAGAGCCTTTGTTTCCTGTCTTCTCCCCCATACTCGGAATAGCACCTGGCACATACTAGGCACTCAGTAATTCACCCTTGAATGGGCTCAGGCATTGAAACGATAGGACACTCCCAGCATCCAGGGAATAGGTAGGGACTGCTGCAGGGAAAGTGATGACTACATGGGTGCAAAGGAGATGAGAACAAGGACTAAAATTTATTGGGTCTAGGGCATTAGCCACTGCAATGACAAAATGACAGCAAGCTGCTCAGTCAATCTTCTGCGGGGGTAGTAAGTCATGGCCAAGTCCAACCACTATTCTCAGACCTCTGAGTGTTATCTCACACTTCTTGATTGGATGCCATAGACTCCCTGGACTCTGATCAGACTCCTTGCAAGCTGTGCAAATGGTCCAAGGGACTATCCACTGCTGACATCTCCTCTGTTGCTTACTTCGGAACCCCTGCAAATCCTTTGTTGTGGTGGGGAGTAGCACAGCTTGCATTTGAACTTGCTCCTTCTGAAGCTTAAAATCTGTGCTTTCAATTCACTGTTCCAAAATTTATAACCTCAAGTCTACGTAGATATTCCTGTAACCCTTGATGTCCTTAAACTTGTTGCTCCTCAGATTAGCTTGGATCTGCCTTTGGCCACTCTTGAAGGGGACAGTCTCCAGAGTGATGCTGGCCCTGTGTTGAGGTTTGAGGACTCCAATGCTGTAGCAGAGAGAAGAGAATGTTAGAAAACCATACGCAATATAACTCCAAAACTCTTTTCCACTCAGCAACCAGGGCTTTTCTTTCCTGGTGTTCTCAGAGACTGGCCTTGGTGTCTCTCACCAGAAAGAAGGATAATGATAACCCCAGGACAAGATGGGAGTGAAGGCTGAATACTCCCAGCACTCACAGGACTCTCTGCTGTTTTTTGAAGAGACCACTTCCTTCTACAGTCAGTACACAGTCTGCAACATGCTCTGAGAGGGGGTTTGAAAACAGCACCTGTATGGAGAGTGGCTGGTTCACAACGGCGGCTCCTAAAACCTAAACAGAGAAATTCAAGGAGAAGAAGGGAGCAGAAAATTAATCTCATTTCCCAATTCACCAAACCCTTGATTGGGCCCACTTCAACAGGAAGATGACTTGTATCTTCAGTGTCTGTTAATGCCTTCTTATTATTGAGTTGCAAGAAATTTTTCCTTTTAGAAACAACCCAGAAAATTAATAGGCAACCAACGGAATGGGAACAGATAGTTGCAAATGACATATCAGATAAAGGGTTAATATCCAGAATCTATAAGGAACTCACCAAACTACATGCCCGAAAAACAAACAACCCAGTGAAGAAATGGGCAGAAGATATGAACAGACACTTCTCCAAAGAGGACATCCAGATGGCCAACAGACACATGAAACGATGCTCAGCATCCCTCCTCATCAGGGAAATACAAATCAAAACCACACTGAGATACCACCTCACGCCAGTCAGAGTGGCTAAAATGAGCAAATCAGAGAACTCTAGATGCTGGCGAGGATGTGGAGAAACGGGCACCCTCCTACACTGTTGGTGGGAATGTAAACTGGTACAGCCCCTCTGGAAAACAGTGTGGAGGTTCCTCAGGAAACTAACAATAGAACTCCCCTATGACCCAGCAATAGCACTGCTAGGAATTTACCCAAGGGATACAGAAATGCTGAGGCATAGGAGCACATGTACCCCAATGTTCATAGCAGCACTCTCCACAATAGCTAAAACATGGAAAGAGCCTAAGTGTCCATCAACAGATGAATGGATCAAGAAGATGTGGTTTATCTATACCATGGAATACTACATGGCAATGAGAAACAATGAAATCTGGCCATGTGTAGCAACATGGATGGACCTTGAGGGTGTTATGCTGAGCGAAATAAGTCAGGCAGAGAAGGACAAATATCATATGTTTGCACGTATAGGAGGATTAGGAGGAACTTGACGGAGGAACAAGGGGGAGAAGAAGGGCGGAAATGGTGGGGGAAAGGGAGAGAGGCAAACCATGAGAGACTCTTGAATGCTGACAAAAACTGAGGACTGATGGATGTGGGGGGGAGGGGGGGATGGGCATGGAGGAGGGCACTTGTGGGGATGAGCACTGGGTGTTATGTGGAAACTAATTTGACAATAAACTATTTGTAAAAAAAAAAAAACATTAAAATTTTTAAATAATAAATAAAATTCAGATTGAAAAAGAGAAAAAAAAAAAAAGAAATTTTTCCTTTTAGAGTTCCACTAACTTTAAGTAGGAATAGAACTTTAAAATCTTTCTGTTTCCTTTCTTTTTCATAATCCTCAATTTATTATGACTAAAACATCATCATACTGGGGATTTTCTATGCTGATGGCATTTTATAGGTCACTTCTTCTGTTATGAATTCAAGAATGTTAGCTGTGCAATTGTGTAGCAATTGCTCCTTAGATCTATTTCCTGAAGAGCTAGACTTCTGTGACCTAGGTTTTTCCAACTATGAGTTAAAAACAACTCGACGGGTTGTCATTAATGTTTTTAAAAAATGAAATAGAAGAAAATATCAGTGTATATGACACAAGATATTGTTATATAAAACTTTGCTTCATTTATACATCCATAGATGTTTATACAAAATATTTTACATCCCTCAACTCAACATATAGGAAAGTCTGATAAATTGGAGCCTCTAGTGATGTTTCCTCTACTCCAAGGATTTCATCCTAGTGTAAAATAGTCAATCCCAAAGGATTCTCATGAATATTTTGAGTGGATAGAATCTTCTTTGGCACTTTCTTATTGCAATTCCATTCCATCCCTTTTCTTCTTCTTAACATAACTGGCTCATTTTCTTTTCATACCAGTGTGTGAGTGAAGAGCAATGGGACATTCAAGGCTGTAGAGAGATGAAAGCAAACCTGGAGGCACTTTTGGAAACCTTCCCTAGAACAGACTCCCATGGCTGGGCTTGCCAGCCACACCCCACCATATGGCCTCACAGGCTCACTTGGCAGGGTCTAGGAGGCTTCTTGGCCTTGGGGAGATAGTCCTGGAGGAGATCCACAGTCTTCCAACTCAGAGGACCAAAGAATGTCACAGCAGGCAGTGTCCTCAGAGGTTAGCTAGTCTAATCCTCTCATTTGACAGTTTAAGAACCAGGGGCCCAGGGACTTGTCTAAGAATGCACAGCCAGGAAATGGCAAATTAAACCTAAGCTGATCTCAGTCAGTGCTTTTCTCCCTACTCAGGTTTCTTCCATCTGAACTCATAGTTCCTCACGTTGACCCTGGGGAAAGCCAACAGTAGAAGGTGGCACAAGGGAGGGATCTCTCCTTGTCCTTTCCATGGAACCTGCTCAAGGTCCACCCATAAGTCCTTTAATGGTACAAGAGGATGGACACCCTGTCTGATGTTTTCAGATGAATCTCATGTTCTGATAGGGAGGTATTTGGGGACACCAGAAGAGTCAGAGGCAAGGAGGGGCTGCTCTCCTGAACAGACTCTCAGAGGGCTCCCATCCCAGCCAGATCTCTGGGGGCCCCCAGGCCACTTACATTAATCATGATGCCTGGATAAGCTAAGGTGATGATCTTGTCCACCAGGATCTTTTCTGGACTGCTCTTCTCTTCGCCCAGGGCACTGATGCGGATCAGCTTGTCTGTTGACAGGTACGGGCCATACTGGGAATAGGGAATTCTGCAAGAATGGGTCTTCGCTAGGGAGAAAACAAAAAGATGAGGTGATTGTAGCTGGGAAAATCAGCTAGACCTGGGTTGGATCTGAGGGACTTTTCTTTGGGGGAAGTGGGGGCAAACATGTACTAAACCTGTACTAGATTTTCAGGTAGAGAAGCTGAGGTTAAGAAAGGCTAAATGGTTTCCCCAAGGTCATTCTACTGGTAAATGGATAAGCTGAGGTTCTAACCAAAGTCTTGAGGCCTCCAAACTCAGGCTTCCCCTATTAAATCAGGCTTCTTTCCTTGAAGTAGTAAAGGGAGGGGATTGGGTGGAAGAGAAAAGAGAGAATAAAAAGGAGAGGAGAATGGAGGAAGGGAAAGGCGGGGGTGGGGGAGAGAGGGAGAGAGAGAGAAGAGTGGAGGGAAGAAAGGGAGAAGGAATTTGTGCCAAAGGGAACATTAGGAAGACTGATGTCACAGGGGTCTGTCCCCAGAACTCTTGTTGGCTGGCTTGTCCCCACTGGCATTTCCATAACCCACTCTGGGTACACAGACCATCCTGTGCCCATACCCAGAGCCCGTACCTTCTTCAGGAGAGAGTGTGATGAAGGCTGTGTCTTGCCAGAAAGGGGGCAGGGGGCTGCCATCATGCAGCAGGGACTGGGCACTCAGGTTCACTTTGAGGTCCTTGAACTGGAGTGACATGTTGAGGGCCAGCAGGACAAACCTTATGTCCTGGCCCATATTGGGCGGGTCGAGCAGCTGGAATTTCAAGGAGACCTGGATGACATCACTGGGCCTAAGGGAAGGCATATGAAGACTCCGAGAGCTGTCCCCGTTCAGTAGCACTGAGTCTTCTTTGTGGGGGTCTTCAGACCTTCCAGCCCTCAGCTTCTGAAGGGCCTTCATAAACACCAGCCTCTCCTGGGGGGAACCTGGAAGGACAGAAAAAGCACCAGCTGTGGACCAGGCTGTACAGGGGGATGAGCCTTGGCTGAACACTATAAGGATGTTAAAACCCTCATTTCCAACAACAAACACCCCTTACCTTTCATCAAGTGCTTTCTAAGTGTCAGCTTTGCTGAGCATTTCACACCATTCATCCTCACATCAACCATGAGAGGGATGTATTATAATTATTTATTTATTATTATTATTTTTTAGCAGTGCCCATGTGAAAGTGGTGTCCCCAATAGAAATAAGATGGCCCTTTGGACCTTCTCTTCAGCTCCACAAAAGGCCTGGAACTGTTTTTTCTTAAATCACTAGCACTGTTTTATTTATTTGCTTGTTTATTTACTTATGTTTTGACCTCTTTGACCCATTTCTCTCATCCCACCCCCTGCCTCTGGTAACCACCAATCTGTATTCTGTATCTATGAACTTGGTTTCTTTTCTGTATGTGTGTGTGTGTGTGTGTGTAGACTCCACACATAAGAGAGGAAATCAATACAGTATTTGTCTTTGACTTATTTTACTAAGTATAATCCTCTCAAGTTCCATCCATACTGGGACAAATGGCAAGATATCATTGTTTTTTGTGATTGAATAATATTCCATTGTATACATATACCACGTTTTGATTAGTCATTCATCTATCAGTGGACACTTGGGCTGTTTCCATAGCTTGACTATTCTAAATAATGCTACAGTGAACATGGGTGTGCATATATCGCTTCAAGTTGGTGTTTTCATTTTCTTCAGACAAATACCCAATAGTGTGATTGCTGGATCATATGATAGTTCTATTTTTAATTTTTTGAGAAACCTCCATAATATTTCCCACAGTGGCTGCACCAGTTCGCATTCCCACAACAGTGCATGAGTGTTCCTTTTTCTCCACATCCTTACCACCCCACCCCCACCCACCAACATAAACCATATACAGATGAGTAAAATGGGGCTCAGAGAGGTCACGTCACTTGTCCAAGTTCCACAACAGGCAAACAGCAGAGTCCAGGTGGAAACCAAATATGCCCAACATAAAAGTCTGTGCTCATGACCCCTAGGCTCTATCCTTCCTTCTCCACGGCAAAGGCAATGGCCCTTTAAGCATCTTAAAGATAGCAGTATGGTGTGATTTCCTATTCTAGAATGAAGTGATTGGTTAGGTATAGACTAATTCCTAGAAATGAGAAACTGAGAAGCCATAGTTAGGAAGAAAGAGAGAGAGAGAGAGGGAGGGAGGGAGGAAAAGAGGAAGGAAGGAAGAAAGAAAAGAAAAGGAAGGAAGGAAGAAGGAAAGAAAAGGAAGAGAAGGGAAGGGAAGAGAAGGGAAGGGAAGGGAAAAAAGAAAAGAAAAATATTCAGACAAGCTGAGTTCCCAGAGAGGTATGTTTAGTACTGGGGAGGCACTGTAGCCAAGATATGCAGGAATACCCACCCATGCTTCCCTAAGAATCCCACACTGCCTTCACTAAGCATTCACTGTCCCCAGTGGCTGTCCCCACTCCTTCAGTGCATCCCCACAACCTCCCCAGGCAGAGGCCACTTTTTTATCTCCTTGCCCAAGAGGTCATTCTAGGCCTGGTTCCAGGCAGAGAAGGATCTCAAGGCATCTGCTTTAGCAAGAGTAGGCCCAGGGAGATGTGAATCAGATTTAGCCTACCTGTAGTCTGCTCTACCCCCAGATCCTGTGAGGCAAAGTGGGAGGAAACCAAATATTGTCTGACTGATCTGCACCCTCAGGCCCACAGGAATATAGCTCCAAACCCCAAAGCTCACAGTGGAACCCCATGGGCCTCTAGCAAATGCTGTCACTGCCCACCTATATCCCCTTGGTGCTTGCTAGTTCAATGCCCACATGCTCTACTTTCAAATTCTAGCACCTTCCACCTTTTCTCTGAGGCTTTATTTGCCACCAGAGCTGTCTTAGCCGGTGCATGGAACAGGCCAAAAGTGCCCAGGACTTCACACCACAAGGAGCAGCCCTTAACCCCTGGCTGACAGGAACTGGTGGATAGATAACCTAGCCCCTTGCCTCTTGGATGAGATAAATTTGTGGTGTTGTTCTGCACTTTACACTGAATCCCTGATAGGGTTGCCAGATATAGCAAATAAAAATACAGGTCCATTTAAATTGAGAGGCAGATTAACAACAAAGAACTTGGGACATGGTTAGAATAAAGCATTATTTGTCCTGTATTTTCCCTGACAACCCCCCTCTCAGAGCTCCCAAGCAGCAACTGAGCTCCAGCTGCCTGTGCTGCTAACCAGCTTGATGAGGCTCCTTGTGTGGCTTCCTCTCCTCCCCTGTCTCACTTGCTCACTCTCCTTCCTTCCAGGAGTTCTTGGGTGGCCTCACAGATAAACCACTTGTCCTTGATTCCTTGCCTCAGGATCTATTCTGGCACACCAACCAAGATAGCTTCAGAGTGGATGTGGCGGGGAAGGAGGTGATGAACAGCATGTTAAGTTGTGTTCATTGCTTGTCTCTCACTGTGAACCCCTTCCTAGGCTAGAGCTTCTAGAGTGGAGCTTCTCTGTGGGTCCCAAAGGCTGACATAGACAAACTACAGATACCTACTGGCCAGCCCTCCTACCACCTGCACAGCTACCTGCTGCTCCCCCACTTTCCTGATTCACTCTTGCTTATCTCTTGCTCCTCACTTAGTTTCTGGCCCTCGGACTCTGTATTATTACTTGGCCACCCCCCACCCCCCCGGGAGGGTTGAACCTAGTGGTTGGTCTTTCTCAAATTCTGAGAATTAGTTCACACCTTAGTTATTTGCCCCTGCTCACTAAAGTAAGAAGCCTCCATTAGGTCTCCCACCTCTCAAAACCATCCTCTGCAGGGGGTGGGAGTGGGACTAAACATGTGACCTTATATTAGCTTTGGTGCTGGTTGGTGGTCTGGACTGTCCTCCAAACACTCACTAAAACAAAGTTAATTAATCAATATGTTATATGAAATTCATTAAATTAACTAATACAATAGGGTTTACTAGATCCCCTGCCAACTTCAGAAGGAGGCTAACTTTCCGGGAAGGCAGCCATGAGGGATTCACATCCCACACTGGTGGGATGCTGTCAATGGCCTATATTCCATGTGACCATCTTGTGGAGGATGTTCACTAGCTTGTGGGATGCAGGGTGGCAGTGAGCACAAGGAAGTGAGGCAATGGGAACATCTCAACTGGGATCTTAAAACTGAAGGGCTGAGGAAACGGGACCTGGGTTCTCTTTCTCAGATGACTTCTGGTTCCCCAGAGGACCACCCCAGCTGGGTGGGAGGTTCCCTGGGGTGGGGGCAAGGAGCCCACAGGACTTGGACTCTGTCAGGGACTGGCCCAGTCATACCTTCTATGTATTTGTAGTTCTCTGTGATGTCATCTCGCTCATCACTTTGAATGCTCTTGGTGCTGATAAAATTGCCAACAGTATTAGTGTCCCGGTGAATTTTCTGCTCCTTCCCTCCGTAGACAAGCCAGGACATGCAGTCAGCATTGACCATGGAAAAGGCAAAGGCTGTGTCATAGTTCAGATCCACCTCTCCCTCTTTGATGGCTCTGACAGAGGCCGGGCCACAGCAGTAGAGGCCTGAAGAACAGAAGAGCCACGTTGGGTCATTGCTGCAGGGTCAGGCAGGGGCAAGGGCAGTTTCTTTGGGAGTGGGTTCTGCCTTTCTCCTAGACAGACTCACCATTGCTTGTCTCCTGAGGGGTGGCATCCAGCACCTGCCAGCCTCCATATCCAGGAGGGAGGTCCTTTCGGGCCATCCAGCACTCATTCCACACATGAAAATTCCTGAAGGAGAAGCCAGAGGAGTCAGTGTCAAATGAAGCCAAGAGAGCTTGTAGTGCTTATGTTCTTTCTAGAGCAAGGCAGAGGTTGATGGGTAGTTGGACTGCTAAATAGAAAGACAGATTTAATGCAACCTAAGCCTTCAAACCTCTATGGGTAAGTGGTGGCAGCTTTTCCTCCTGTGAGCTTTGACTTGCCCAGAGAAGAGCTTTCTTCTGTGAATAGACAGTGAAGGCTTCTGGAACTAACTGAAGTTAAAAATCTCTCACTCTCTCTCTCCCAAAGGTCCTCATGGCCCTTTTCTCTGTGTGCTGTGGACTCACAGGGGCAGACATGGTATGTCTGGAGGTGGGACTTCAGGCCCTCCTGTGGTCAGAGCTACAGGCTGATTATTAAATGAAGGAGATGACAAAGAGTGAAATCTTACTCAGGGAAAGAACTTAAAATCATTTTTGTGTTCAGCCATGTCTCAGCCTTTGAGGTGGGGATACAGGGCCCTGAGACTGGTAAAAGTGAGGGCGGTCTGGGAGGGTAGCAGGCTCGTGGGCATAGTCTTGCCCCACTATCTGCTGGTAGAGTTTGCCCTGGAAAGAGACAGACAGGTGGTCTCTCACCAGACAGTGTCCTTCTTCTTATTCTCCAAGATCCTTCCCGTGCTGTCATAATACTCATCTATGATCAGGTTTCCATCTGTGTCGTGCCCAGAGTCAAAGTTGGTGATTACACGGGTGGGGATCCCTAGGCACCTCATTACTGCAGAAAGAGCAAGAAAAACAAATCTCCTGTGGGCTATGGATTCAGGAATTCGATGGGTTCCTGGATGTAAGGCCCTGAGCCCAGTGAAACCATCCTTTGGCACCTGCAGGACCAGTCAGGGGAGCTGTTTGGGTCACTGGGTTGGTGAAGTTGTCAACCTCTCTCCCTACCTTCCTGAACTCCTCTCTGGGGCTCATGGAAGAGGCTGTGTGCAGAGGCTGGGCTTCTGGTTGCTCAGAGAAGCACTGCCAGGGCCAACAGAAACTCCAGCAAGTTGTGAGTCCCTGACTTTGCAAGCAGGACGGGGCAGGCATGCCTCCTTTGTTTTTGTTTTTTAATTTTTTCAATGTTTATTTAATTTTGAGAGAGAGAGAGAGACCGAGCAGGAAGAGGGAGAGGAAGACACAGAATCCGAAAGCAGGCTCCAGGCTCTGTGCTGACTCTGAGCTGTCAGCATAGAGCTCAACGCGGGGCCTGAACCCACAAGCTGCTAGATCATGACGTGAGCTGAAGTTGGCTGCTTAATCAGCTGAGCCACCCAGATGCCCCTGGCCATGCCTCCTTTGGCAAGACTACTCAGTGGCCTGACTTGGTCTTAGTCATCTGTTGGCCGTGAATCTCCACCTTTAAACCAAATAGCTAGAATTTTGGTTCATACCATCAGATTCTTAGACAAAGAGGTCTGTGGCTTGGATTCCTCCTTTTCTATGGGTGTATTGTCTTGGAAGGTTACGAAGGAATGTGTCACAAAGGAAGGCAGAAAAGGAAGGAAACTATGTAACAAAAGCTTAGAAAAGTGAGTGTTTGTACCCAGTAGAGAAATTCTAGAAAAGAGATACTATATTGTTTTTATTCCTGAAGGGGCATCTCTTCCTTCTGGCAGCCAACTTCTCTGCTTTGTCCTTTGCCATATTTCCCCCATTCTTCGCTCTTTTAAGTACAGCTATATCCCCCAGTCCATCCTACCACTGATGTTCTAGAGACCCTGTCCCTTCAAGTACAGCATTGGCAGTCCACCCCATTTAATAATAATAATAATAATATTATTAATAATATTTATTATTATTAATTCAATAATATTGAATTGAATAATTGCTAATTTGAATAAAATTGAATATAATTCAATAATAATAATATCAGCCAGGCATGTTGTTAAGTTATCCTCAGAACAACTCTACACAGAAGCTACTGTTATTATCCTCCTTTTAAAGGTTAAGAATCAGAGGCTAAGAGAGGTGCCTGTGTGGCTCAGTTGGTTAAGGGTCTGGCTCTTGGTTTCAGCTCAGGTCATGATCTCACAAACCATGAGATCAAGACCCAAGGATGGTCTTAAGTTTCTCTGCCTGCTCGATCTTAAGATTGAGCCTGCTTAAGATTTTCTCTCTCCCGCTCTCTCTGCCCTTCCCCAGCTCACACATGTGCATGCTCTCTCTCTCAAAATAAATAAATAAATAAACTTAAAAAAATAGGAGGCTAAGAAAAGTTGGCAACCTTGACCAATGTCAAATGGCTAGGAAATGGCAGACCTGTCACTCAAATCCTAATTCTGAGCCCACTTCCCAGTATCATGCACGCGGTTCAGCCTTCTAGCATTTTTACCTTATCAAACATTTGATGCATTTTCCTATGTTATCAAATATTGGCATAATATGTGTGCAAAGCCTCTCCTGGTCAGGTTATGGATACATCTCTGGATATAGCTTGGAAAGAGGAGGAGAAGATCCCAAAAGGGAACCTGGAGCTCTCCTCAGCGGCAGCTCTGTGCAAGGCCAAGGAATGAGGGCAGGGAGTGAGCAGAGCTGACAAGTGAGTTGTAGGTGGAGGTAACACAGGACAGCCTCAGAGGGGAGGGTGAGGTTGGAAAAACTGCCACTAAAGGAACATGGGACAGAAATAAGGCAAGAACATTCAGGTGACTCAGGATCATTGCGTGTACACATTTGAGCTAAGATTACAATCAGGAGGGTAGGTAATATTTCTGATAATAAGAGGAGGTGCCAAGGAGGGGTGGGCAGGGAGAGCAGGAAGCAAGCCTCCATCTTCACCCCAATTAATGAATTCAAAAACAGCCACATGAACTGTCAGTGGTGGTGTCAGCTTGTTGTCAACAAGGCTGGATGAACCTTTTCCACCTGAACATGGGGCATTGTTCCCACGGTACTCTAAAGTTCTCTACCTGACTTAGCACATGGCTTGTGATGATTTCTTTACAAGTCTGCCTTCCTGAGAGGGATTGTGTGATATTCATCTTTATCATTATACAGCCATTAACAACACAGAGCCAGATCTATCTTGCAGAAACTTGGTGGTGCATCGTTGCTAGATGGCTGAATGAGTGTCTCACAAATCTTCTTCCTGTTCTCGTGATTTCTGACTTTGCATGGCACTATTATAATGACTGTACGCTATGCTTTGGGTATCAAGCTTGACTGTCAGTAGAGCATAAGCTTTAAGTGGTGATGGATTTGCACTGATCTGTTCTCACCCTTTTGTCATCATGGGGGACAACAGACTGTCACAGTGAAGTCACAGTGAGGTTAGAATGGTTGCTCACATGGGGAATGAGTGAGGCCTTGCTTTAGCTTCCATATCACACTAAGGGCTCAGATTTGCATGAAGTCATACACATAAGTTTTTTTCCAGGGTCTTGCTCCCTCTGTCCTACATGCTCTGTCCTCCCACAAATGGCTCATCTTGCCTTATGGATTCACCTCTTACTTCTGTGCCCACAACTCCTGAATCTTGAGCCTCTGTGGAGACCTCCGTGTTTCTAGACACATGCCCAACTGAGCTTGTCTTTCAGTCTTCTGCATCTTCCTTGCCAGTTGATGACATCATCATCATCATCATCATAGTGCCAGACATGGTGCCAAGCATTGCACAGGCATAATCTCATTTAATCACCTCCAAAACCCTGTGGTTATCTCAACTTTAAAGAGGAGAAACCTGAAGCTTAGTGAGATTGAGGTCACATGACAGAAAGAGAAGAGTCAGGGCAGAATTTAAGCTCCCAATTCTCTGATCTCAAAACATCCCCAAACTTCTAGCTACAAGCCACACCACTGCAACTTCACTAGGCATCACAGAACCAAATCATTCTCAATGCACTTTCCTCTGTCAAGTTTTCACTGACTACTTCATGACACACTAACTTCCCTTCCTCATGCTCTCACTTAATCCCAATCACCTGTGCCTCGTATTTTATCACTGGATGGAGCTCTCTGTGATCTCCTGTGTTTGTCTTATCTTGTCAGCCAGATTACAAATCCCCCTAGAGTAGGATTCATACCAGATGCATACCAGATGCTTTTCTTGATATATCTTTGTTTCCAACACAGTGTTGGGCACAGAGTAAATGCTCATTAAATCTGTGTTGACATGTGTTGTCTTGAACCTGTGAATAAGGTTTCTGCAGACTATCAGTACTAATGACTCACAGTTTGACAGGAGACTCAGGTGACTCACTAATATTTTGGGGGGGGCGGAGTCCCTCATAAAAGGGAGGTATGTGTGTTTGTTTGTGTGCACACACATGCACGAACCCTCACACAGGCATGCTTAGACAAAGCTGGACCAGATATCAGGATCAGGAAAGGGCTGCAGATTTCCCAAGGTATATCACACCACACCGCACTCCCAGCATGAATTGCTATGTCTCTTCACTTAGCCATTCAGCACTCATCCAGTGACTGGTGTCAAGCCCCTGTGATTAACTAGGCAATGGGTTAGATGCATATACAAAAATGAAAGACATCCCTGTCCTCAAGGAGGGCAGCTTCACTTTTGACTGGTGGTGGACATCATCCTGATGGTGTATTAAAACATGGACTCTGTTTCAGGACTGGCTGTCAAGTCTTCTCACCAGTTCTTTTTCCTCCCCTGCCGCCCACCAACTCCCTATGTGGAAGTGTGGCTCCAATTTTAAAAGAGAAATCAGTGGAAAGTTAGAGTTAGATTTGTTGAAATTTGCTCGGTCAGCTTCGCTGCCACACTTCCATGGCTTATACTGAAGAATACAGTCAAGCTTCAGCTAATAGAGTTGAAGTGTTTGCATTTGAATGTGATGATTTTTAGCATCTTATAATTTTTCCCTGGAAGCATCAAGCTTCTAAATGGTAAAAGTATCTTCTCCTCCCTTGTCTTTAATTGTTCCTTAAACCAAGATGGTCATATTGTCTTGGTTTTTCAGATATGCCGTTACAAGTTCATATTAGAACTGTTCTTGCTTGTCTGCCATGATGATGAATCCCAAAACTGCTCTAAAAAATAATGTCTGCTAAAAAAATTACCAGGCATGCAAAGAAGCAGAAAGATATGACTCATAACTAGGACAACTGTCAATCAATAGAACTAGATCTAGAAAAACAGAGATGATTGAATTAGATGACAGAGACCTTAAAATAGCTATTTTAAATATTATAAATATGCTCAAGAGGAGGTAAAGGAAAACATGAACATAAGAAGAGAAATGGAAGATAGAAAGAAGATCCAGTGGAATTTATAAAGATGAAAAATATAACATATAAAACAAAAAATATATTGGACAAAATATTGCATATAACAATATACTTTTTTGATAAGAGCATATTCAGAGACAATGTTACATATTAAATATATCAAAATGTTTCCCTATCATGGAGGGAGGTGAATAGGAAGGTGTTGTAAGACAACAGTGAGGAAAAACCAATTAATAACTAATTTTTACAAAGGAGGCCTGAAGTAGACCTATTACGATCAATATCATGAAATGAGGAATATGATTAATTAACTCTAAACACGCCAAAGAACAAAGGAAGGAAATAAAATAAAAATGCAATAGAGATGATGGGGAACTGAATTTGGGGGGATGACTAGAAACACCTTATGAGTAAGACCCAACCAGACCTCTGGAGCCCAAGAGGCTGAGATTAAAACGGTATTAGACTAATTATAATAGCTAACATTTATGTAAAATTAACCATGTACCAAGCATTTTTCTAGGTGCTGGCCACATATTAACCCACAACCTGGTAAGGGAACATTCCACACAAGCCTTGATGTCTCATAAATCAATGGAGAATAATAGTAGATTTGTATTTGAGCCAAAGGTTGAGGCAACAAAATGCACCAGGGCTGTGGCTGAGATTTCCTTCTATGAGAGCTAAGGGCTCAATGAAAACAATGAGGACAAAAGGTATATTCAAATGAAGATAATGAGGTACTTTATAGAGACTACTACACAACTGAGTGAGAAGAAATCTTAGATCACATCTAGCCCAGGGGCGTTCAAATGGTTTTAAGCAGAGGACCCTACATGCAAGGTAAAGCATAAGTGAGAATCCAATATATAAAATATACACATGGGGTAGTTTTGGGTGAAGAGAAAATGGCCTACCTCCAAGCAACACTGCCTCCTCATCTCCCATACCATTTCCCACCATCCTTCCCCCCATGGATCCTGGGCCACCTCTCTACTTTATAGAAGAGGGGATTATGCCCTATAGACCTGTTCACAGTCAATGTTCATGTCTTCCAAGTCATTGCTGACTCTATCCCCACCCCCATGCAGCTGTGGGCAGGAACAGACCTGCCCAGGCATATTCCCAGGATGACTGGCTTAAAAAAAAAAAAAAAAAAAAAAAGACAAAAAGCCAACTTTACTGAGGTCTAGTTCACATACCAAAACCCTTGTAAAGTGTACAGTTCAGAAGTTCCAGTCCAAGAGGGCGATGTAGGAAGACCCTGAATTCATCACCTCCACAGACACACCAAATCTATACCTATTTATAGAGCAATTCCTCTTGAAGAAGAACTGAGGGCTGACTGTGACTGAAAGCTTCTGCACCAAAAAAGATAGAGAGACCACACAGAGAGTGGCAAGAGAGAGTGGGACTTGGTAACTAAGGAAATCCCCACCCTGACTCTGTAAATTGCAGCAGGAAGGGATAGTTCTGAGAGACTGCGAAGAGATTAGTCTGCCCTGCAGCACAGAAAAAAAAGTCACAGTATAAAAGGGCAACTGGAATATAAAAGAACCAGCCCTAGAACCTTGACAGATGGCGGGGGAGCTGCTGGAACTCTCTCCAGGTCCCTTGTAGCATAAAGTGGATAGCCAGAACAGGAAAAGCCTGATGACTAAGAGCTGTGGGTGGTCAGCCCTAAATACAGAGAAGGTAGGCCAGAGATTTGCCTGAAATTCCCAAAATAACAGCCAACTAAATGAATGTCAAAGAAAAAGCCTGCTCAAAATTTGATGCATGCACACTTTCCTTTGGTGATTTTTCATTAGGAATTTAACATCAATATGTTGACATTTAAAAAGGCAATTCGGGGGGGGGGGCAGGGCTGCAGAAGAGAGAATGTATTATTGAGTCAGCCAAGAGTCACTTGGTCACTTCAAGCCTCAGTTTTCCCATCTATAAAATAATGGTAATGATATCTACTTTGCAGGCTGGTTGTGAGGATAGAAAGAGTGAAAATGCCTGGCATATACCTGAAACACAGAGGATACTGGGTAAGTGGTAGCTGCTAGCAATGTTTATGTATCAGTATCTCCTAGTGGTTACAGAATGCCAGACCTGGATGTGAGACTGGCTCCACTGCTCAGTTTCCTCATCTGCAAAGTGGAGATGATGATGATAGAATCTACCCCATATGGCCATTTGAGGGTATCAAATGAGGTGATCCTAGCTGATGCTTACTGAACATTCACGGTAGCCAGGCACTATTAATTCTTAGCACATTCCATGCAATATATATTTATATATATTTATACCTCAGTCCTTTCAATAACCCTATTTGGTAGGCACTATTACTTTCTCCCATCAGAAGTCTGAAGCACAAGTTAAGTGACTTGCCCAAGGCCACCTAGCCATTTGATGGTAGTGTTGGTATTTGAAAACAGTCTACTTCCAGATCCACATCACATGCCTCACCAATATTCTAGGTTGTCAAGATTTTAGCACAGTGCCTGGCACAAAAGAAGTTTCCAATGCAAATCAGCTATTGTGATTGTGAAATAAAAACAGTATTACTAATAAATGTGCTTTGGTAGCTATATTGGACTAAGGAATTTGATAAATCCTTAACTTTTAGTAGAGGAAAAAGGTTGAGTCTTACCTATCTTTGTATCTAAGAGTACTTAAAGCACAGTACCTAGCTTAGAATAAGGACTCAGTCAGTGGCTGGATGAATACATGAGTTTTTCAAACATATATACTTATTAATTTACACCATGGTGGCCCTTTGGGGGAAGCCTTCTGTTGCCTAAGCTACAGTTGGATCAAGCCGCATTTGACCCACTTTGCCCAGCCCTTTGCTTCCCAGGTCACAAAGGGGCCATGATTCTTATAAACATTTTAATTAGTCTGCTCTCATTGCATAATCTTCATTCACTGGCTCCACTCCTCTCGTTGCCCAGTTCTAGACAACCACACCCAAAACCCTGGTCCTCTCCCTCTCACATGCACGCTAGGCCCATTAGTCTTTAGGCTTTTCCACACAGAGGAAGGTTCCCTCTCCAACATGCACAAGATTGATCTATTCTCTGCCTACCAGTCCTGTGCCTGTTCCCTGGATGACTCAGACCTCCCAGTTCACCCATATCACTGTGGCTCTGGGAATCAAAGCTGTTGAATTCCTAGTTTCTTGTCCCTGGTCAATCAGAGCCTCCAACTCAAGATGGGGCCCTGCAGCTACAGAGGAGGAAGAGCTCAGGACTTCCTCTTCACCAACCCATGTGAAGTCATCCTCTGTGGGTGTTGACAGAAACCTCCTGTGCCCTTGGACAGAAGTCTGGTGCTCTCTCCTCCGCAGCTGGAGTGTCCCTAGGCTTCCTCCAAGAGCCCAGAGATGGGCTCAGCACATACAAGCACATTGACTGCACCAGACTTTATCATACAGGGAATTTCTACACAGAAGGCCTGAGTCTGCAATAAACATGAAGCTGTGGGCAGATCTGGTCTCCCCGGATTGGACTAGAGAGTCCTGTGAGTGAAAGTTGTTATTGGCCTCTTTTCCTAGAATAAGAACTTCCTGACCATGACCCATGGTCAGGTATACAGATATGCATGTGTGAAGGCTGAGAGAGCCCTAGGCACGGGGATCAGAGTGAGGGTGAGAGCCAGTAGCAAGCTGGACCCTTTGTGAAGCAGAAGGCCTCCTCCTGCTGTCTCTAGTATGTGACTAATTTCTAGGTGTCAGTTGCCTCAAGATTCACAGCCATACCTTTCTTCTGCTTGCTCCTCCTGCTACCTGCAAATCAACTTCCATTTGCCTTCTTTGCCCCATACATATTTTTTACCCTTCCTTCTACTAGTGTAGCATCTACTCCCTATTGGAAAAAATATGATCTCCCATTTTCTTCCATCCCCTACCTCTCTGACCTGAGTCAGGCCTCCAGGCCTACTGAGCATGAGACAACTCCAAATTCAGGGTCATTTTATGTCGACTTGCATCTTGCTCTGGTCCCATGGCTCAAACCACCACTCCAATATACATTTCCCTCCCATGTCAAGACCACTCTCTGCTCAGAAAGGGCACTAATCATTTTATAAGTTTTTCTAAATACTTGGCCTTTCATCTCATTCCTGTCTTGGACCAAACAATTTCCAGCCAGGCTCTTAGGTTGTCCAAACTCAGAGGAAGAGAAAGGACAGAGAAGTGTATAACTTCTCTGAAATAAGCCCAGATACATGAAACTGGGGTCAGTGAGGAGACATTTTTACAGAAGGGGCTTCCTTCCAACCTTTCGTTTAGTGGGAACTGTGCAAGACTGGGACAAGGGGGGCGCCTGGGTGGCTGAGTCAGTTAAATGTCCAACTTCGGCTCAGGTCATGATCTCACAGTTCGTGGCTTCGAGCCCCGCGTCGAGCTCTGTGCTGACAGCTTAGAGCCTGGAGCCTGCTTCAGGTTCTGTACCTCCCTCTCTCTCTGACCCTCCCCTGCTCACACTGTCTCTCTCCCTCTCTCTCTCTCTCAGAAATAAATAAAACATTAAAAAATAATTAAAAAAAAAAGACTGGGATAAGAATGGTTCAGAGGGCTAATACATGAGCCAGTACACTATTTGTTCTCTCCATGGGGCCCTTTCCACTCCCTACCTGTGCACATGATGGCAGCAAAGACCCAGCACTGCCCATAACGCACTGGCTGACAGCCCGTGGCATGCCACTGTTTCAGGATGGCCACACTGCCGGTCCACTCTGCAGGGTTGATGCCATCTAAGTAATTCTCACTCCAGTTTCCATTGAGCACCCCATTGTCATCGTTGCTATTAATCTAAAGAGAAACCATATATAGAAGCATTAGAAGCATTGTTTTGCTCAGCAAGATGTGATGTGTGGGCTGCCTTGCAAGGTCTGTGGGCCTGAGACACAGAGGACTCTTCAATCTGGTTTTACCTGGGAATTTCCAGACCTGCTAGGGAAGGGGTGAGGCGAGTGGGAAGCTAGCCATTCTGACTTCTCTCTACTATTAACTAGTTTATCATTCTATTTCAACTCACCCCTGTGAAGCTAGAGATTGGCTCTGAGAGCTCTTAAAAATACTGTGGAGCAAGAGAAATTTAGAAAAAAAAAAAAAAAACAACAAGACCATTTCCAAAAATAAAGCTAACTCAGCCTTTCCTAAAACATTAATTTGGAATTAATTGAGGTGATGGCCCACACCCAGCTATTTCAAAACTCAGCTGAGAAAACCTGTTACCCATATTTTTTCATCAGCCTCATCCAAACTGGCTTTGCCAGAGGGCCCTTGTTCTTGACTCTTCACTGCCCCCCCCCCGTTGGAGGGGGCAAATCTGAGGGGGCACCACCCAACACACACAGCTTCCTCCCTCCCCAGACACACCCTGGGTGGGCAGAGCCGGACCCAACCTCACCATGGCACACACCACTCTGCTGATGTAGACGGGGCTTCCCCGCAGCGCACAGTCTATAGCTGGGTCGATCTGGAAGTTCAGGCTCTTGTCTAACAGCTCCAGGCAGATGTCAATGATATTCTCTTCAAACTATAAGGGAGATGCAGACAGGCAAGGCTCCCATACATTGATACATGTAGATATGGAAAGAAATGCATGAGTCACCCCACCCAGCTCTCCAATAGACTGTGTTTATGGAATACAAACCCATTTAGAAGGGAACTGTGTCCAGGAGCACAGACATAAACTGCCTCCTGAGCAGGTGGAGGATCTCTGGGCTCTAGGGTCACAACAACAACCCAGATGCCCTACAGATCAAATCCCTGGAGTTTTTTTTCCAATGAGTCTGACTGATTAAAAGTCGATTTCTCCTTCTTCTCTCACTTCTCATACTCCTGGAGCCTGTGGGATGTTCTTGCTAAAACCATATTGCCTCACCTTTTACCTCCACCTGCTAATCCAAATCACAATTGGCAGCTACTGTTGAGGTACTGGCACCAACTGGCCATGGCACCTGTGACTCAATCAGGCTCTGGAATGACTAATAGTGTGTGAGTTATGGAAGCTTCCCACCCAAGGTAGGCTGACTTGTCCTTTGGGCTTGGTGTGAATGACATTTTATCTGAGGGCTTCCCTGAGCCTGAGCCTGATTTAACTTAAGTCATAATGATGGAGTCAAGCTCTGTCTTGCTTGCCTGAGAATATGCTCTGTCTCCCTCCAGTTGTCCTTGCAACTGTATGCCCCAGACCTGACAGTGCACAGAACATAGTAGGGACTCCATGCATCTTGGTTGAATGAGAGTAAATGAATAATGTATTTATCACCATGTGATATTCCCACTGGACAATAAAGAGGAATAGGATCCTTCTCTGACCTATCTTTCCCAAGGTACAGTTTCATCAGATTACTTTTCTGCTTTAAAATGTTCAAAGGCCTCTAGACCTTCAGAACCAAAGCTCTAACCTCCCCTGTCAGCCATATAAGACCCTCCCTGATCTGGCCCCCTTCTACCTCTCCAGCCTCAAGTCTCAATACCTCCTGCTTCATCATTTTGCTCCAGCAACACCAGATTCTTTGTAACCCTGCAACAGACCAAACTGTTTCTCACCTTTGTGTTTTTGCTCATGCTTCCCTCTGCCTGGGATATTTTCCCCACCTTTCATTTGATTAAGTCAGTTCAAGCGTCTCCTTTCCTAGGAAGCTTCCCTAATGACTCCATGCCCAACCAAGTGCTCCTCCTTTGGGCTCTCAGAACATCCTGTGCCCATCTCAGTCTTTGCATATCCCATGCATGGTAAGACCTGCTTATGTGACTGAGTCCCCACTATACTATGAGCTCAGGGACAGCATTCAATTCATTTTCATATCCCTAAGCACCTTGCACCTTGCGTGATATTTAGCAGGCATTCAATGTAAGTTCACTGAATAAGAGACAGGGAGAAAAGGAAGGATCCAGGGCTCAAAAGAAAGCAATTGCTCACTTCTGTTGTTCACAGATGATGGTAAGTTCCTGTCTATAGGGGCTCTCCAGACCCTCATTTGCCCAAGCTGAGTGAGGAGCTGGAGAGGTCAGTTGGCACCAGTTGAGGCTGTCAGGTCTCATCTTGACAATAGCTACCTCAGGGGACCTAGGCTGTGCCCAAGGCCACATGTGTTAGAGTTCTATTTGGGCAAAGTTTAGGAGAGGCACTCATATCCAACAGACACAAGGCTCCACAAAGGCTCCTAGGATTTCCCACCCAACAGCCATCTGGCAGCCAGGACTGGTCTTCTTTCCCCAGTAGTGTTGGGGTGCCAGGTCTCAGCCTTGAGAACCCTCTTCCCTGTCCTGGTGCTGGACTTCCTGGAGCACCTGATGTAAGCTGAGCTTTATGTGGGAGGCAGGCCTTCAATAAGGCAGGAGTTGCAATGCATTCTGATTAATATGATTCCATTGTTATGCATAAAATATTTTCAAATATGCAGAGGAAACATAATATAGAAGAACATACACCACACTGGTGATGGTGCTTAGCATGCCCTTCATGTTCTAAGTACCCATTTTTGTAACGTTTCCTTGTAAAAATTTTAAAACAGCCGTGTATTACTCTTATAATGAAAAAGATATCGGGGGTGCCTAGAGTTGAGTGTCCAAATTCAGCTCAGGTCATGATCTCATGGTTCGTGAGTTCGAGTCCCACATCGGAATTGCTGCTGTCAGTGAAGAGCCTATTTTGGCTCCTCTGTCTCCCTCTCTCTACCCTCCTCTGCTCGTGCATGCTCTCTCTCTCAAAAATAAACATTTAAATAAACCTTAAAAAAGAAAAATAAAAAAGATCTCTAATCAAAACAGAGAAGCAATAGAAACCAGGAGGGAAGTGCATCACTGCTCATCAACATTGCTTCTGGCTGAGGTGTCAGGGATGAGTTTCCTCAGTGTGAGAGAACTGATTCTAGGGTGTGTGGTCTAGGTAATGAGGATGAAGTGAGAGAGGCAAATGAATCCTACTGGAAACAGTTCAACAAACAAAACCCAGGCACCATCATGGCCATCCTCACTCCATCATCATGTCCCTTCGTCCTCATCATCATGCTCAGTGGAATTCCCTGGTGGGTGCCTTTAGCTGTCTTTCCCCCTTAGATACTGATGTTCAAATCAGATATGATCAACAGAGAATACCTTCCAACTCATTTAGCTCCCTGGAGTGTCATCTCACACTTTGCTGTCACCATTTGTCAGTTCTGGGTGAACCCTGAATGAGGAAAACCCTCCCACCTTGCTCCTGCTCCCCACTTCCCATGAGCTCAGGGCCTGGATGGGCCATGAATAGGGCTAAGACTCACCTGTCCATAGTTCCAGGGACATGGGCGGATCCAGTTCTTGTTCCCTTGGTAAATGAAGCCGTAATCATTCACGACATACTCCTGCCTCTGGGGCTCACTGTCCAAGTAGACAGAATCCCCTAGAAATCAAAGTGCCAGGACACAAAGCAAAAAAGTTGTCATGCCATTCCTGCCTCACCGCATCCCCAGAAGACAAAGTCCCATGGAAACTGAGCACTAGCATTGGCACTGGGGGACACCAAGAGGGGCAAAAGGGGAGGTTTCTTGGAGAGACCCACCTTCTACAACCCCTCAGCACCAGCTGGTTCAATACGAACATGAGGCTAACTAGTAAAAAGTTACCTTTGGTGGAATTTCTTGGTTTGCAAAGCACATTTACATCCTGTCCCAAATAAAGGTTGAGGGAACAGGCTCAGGTGATAAGTAACTTGTCCAAATCACATGTGAGCACAGAGTGAAATTTGGACAGAGTCCATATTTCACCATATTCCATGACTTTTCTGCTATACTCAACTAAACCTGATTGGAAAAGGGCAAACCAGAATTTAGGGGTTGGCATTAACCTTCTCATGCCTTTTACAGGAATTTAATCTAGGGACAGTATTTAGGAAGTACCCAAAGATTTGGATGCTAAGATGTTTATTTGAGTACTGTTTGCAACATGGAAAAGCTGGAAACAACCTAAGTGGTGGTTCTGGAAGCTGGTTAAAAAGCCACATCCACCACAGAATTCTGTACATACATGATTAATATAAGATTACAAAATTGTAATATAGGCATCAAAATCTACATGTAATATGTTGTTTTAAATGGATTACATAATAATGTTACAGCACGAATTGACATTTGTTTAAAACATACTTATGCAAAGGATTTTGAAGGCTATTCTAAAAGATGCTGATAGTATTTTTTTTTATCTTTTTGCCAATGGTATTCTCTAGATTTCCTGGAATGAACATATATTGTTTTCATGATATAAAAAATTATCTTTTTAAAATTGAGAATGAACAAATAAAGGCCATAGGAGTAGGTATCCTCTTTGCAGTGTCCTGGAACAGTCTGGAAGCCTCACCTAACTCATAGGTAAAAGTACTCTTCTCACTTCCTCAGAGGTAGCCTCAGACTCAGTCTGCATGGACTCTGGTGGAGTTGGATTCCTGGGGAAAATGCCTTTTAATGAAGTCTTGCACCAGTGTGACCAGCCCTGCAGATTCATGGTTGAGAACACACACATCTTCCTCACAGCAGGGACTAGCAGTGGCCAGGGCTGCAGTGTGGGAGTCCCCAGGTGGATTAATGACAGGGATCGTGGGACAGGTGTTGCTGGGATATTCTCTATAGCTTTGTCTAAGACAAACACTGGAAACAGCCAAAATACCCATATATAGGAGACTAGTTAAAAACATTTGTTGTCCAAACAATGGAGTAATTGTAGCCATTAAAAATAACATATTGAGGGGCGCCTGGGTGGCTCAGTCGGTTAAGCGTCCAACTTTGGCTCAGGTCACGATCTCACAGTTTGTGGGTTCGAGCCCCATGTCGGGCTCTGTGCTGACTGCCAGCTCAGAGCCTGGAGCCTGTTTCAGATTCTGTACCTCCCTCTCTCTCTGACCCTCCCCTGCTCATGCTGTCTCTCTCTCTCAGAAATAAAGAAAACATTAAAAATAATTTTAAAAATAACATATTGATAGGAAAATACATTCAAAGTTGAATTGTTGAATGAAAAAAGCAAGCTAAAGCATGCTATGTAGTATATAATCCCATTCGTGGTATGACTATATAATCACACACATGTATATATGCATAAATACATATTTGATTAAACATAGAACAGTTTTGTAAAACTATATAAGAAAATGCTAACAGAATTTTCCTCTGGAAGATGGAACTTGGAGATTGGGATAAGGTTTTACTTTTCACTTTATACATTCCTTCTTCCACCCTTCCTCTTTCTTTCCTTCTTTCTTTCCTTCATCCTTTCCTCCTTTCCTTCATTCTTTCCATCTTTCTTATTTCTTTCCCTTTGTTTCATTCCACAAATATTCAATGCAATACATATTACTCTTAGAATTAAAAAACTCAAGTTAATTTTAAAAATGTGTGGTAAGGATAGATGTTAATAATGGTCAAAGTTAATTATATCAGTCTTATTTTTAAAAGTTTATTTTATTGGGGTGCCTGGGTGGCTCAGTTGGCTAAGCATCCAACTTTGGCTCAGGTCATGATCTCATGACTCTTGAGTTCAAGCCCCATGTTGGGCTCTGCACTGACAGCTCTCTGCCCCTCCCCTGCTTGTGCTCTCTTGCTCTCAAAAATAAACATTTTTTTACGAGAGAGAGAGAGAGAGAGAGAACAGGGGAGGGGCAGAAAGAGGAGAGAGAGAGAGAATCCCAGGTGGGCTCTGCACTGATAACATGGGGCTCAGACTCACAAACTGTTAAGATCATTACCTGAGCCAAAACCAAGAGTCAGATGCTTAACCAACTGAGCCACCCAGGTGTCTCAGTAGTTTTCTTTTTTTTTTAATGTTATTTATTTTTGAGAGAGAGACAGACAGAGTACGAATGGGGGAGGGGCAGAGAGAGACACACACACACACAAAATCCAAAGCAGATTCCAGGCTCTGAGCTGTCAGCACAGAGCCTGACACAGGGCTCAAACTCACAAACCGTGAGATGATGACCTGAGCCGAAGTCAGAAGCTTAGCCGACTGAGCCACCCAGGTGCCCCCTAATAGTTTTCTTTTTAAGTAAAGATGACTTTGCTCATGTTTTTAAAATTCTAAATAAGTAAATGAATAGCAAGTTTTCCCTGCCCTGTTTGTTGGTGGTTGGGAGTAAATGCTGACTGCATGCAATTGAGAGGTTTCTGGTAGTCAGGAAACAGGTCTAGAAATCCTTGAGCCTACCTCTCTGTGGCACTGACAAAGGGGTAGAGACGAGGGACCCACACACAGGCACCCCGCCTTACCTGGGCACCAGGGATTGAAGAGCAGGATGAACTCCCCGAGCTGGTAGGCTGTGACAGACTTCTGGAAAGAGTCAATATGAACTTTCAAGAGATACCGGCCCACGGCTGCTGTGGGAGGGGCACACAAGCTCACCTCCAGGGAGCTGGCCCCATTGGTCTCCAGAGAGGCAATCCATGGGCTGGGGCCATGATGACCTGCGAGGCTGAACAGGGCTCGAGTCCCATTGGACAGGTCTGGTAGGGGTCCTGAGAGGGAAGCAGAACTGAGGCTCTCTCTGCAATAAACTTTCAACCCTCTGGAATCTTCCTAAGCGCGTCCGCGCGCGCACACACACACGCTCGCACGCACGCATACACAGAGCCCTCAGGGGTCCTCACCAGTCTCAGCCACAAAGATGATGTTGTCCAGGACTGGCTGGAAGCCCCGGTTCCTGAAGTACAGAGTGATGTTGAAGGCCTGGCCCCGGCGAACCAGGAGTCGTTCGGAGCTGATCTCCTCTGTGTGGTGCTGCACATTGTTCCAGGAGCTCTGGAGGTCTGTGAGAGCCACCTCCAGCCCTGCAACAGGGCAGCCAGGGGCATACGAAAGAGCAGGGCTGTAGAGTCTGGTCCAATCCTGACCGGCACTTTTTAGTTGTACAAACTTGAGAAAGAAACTTAGCCTCTCTGAGCCTCAGTTTCCAAGTAAGTAAAACAGAATCCATAATACGAGCAGTACAGGGTTGGTATGAGGATTAAGTGAGGCTCCATGCTTGCAAGTGCCTCTTTCTTACTTCCTCCATCCTTCCCTTTCTTGCTTTTATAATCCTCTATCCCCTTCCCCTTTTATGCCCTCCCAGAGGTGCATGGATTTCTGTCTCTGTCCAACCTCTTTCATAGTCCTGGTCAAGTTTGATTGCTCCCTTCAGCCTAGCATGTCTCCAGATTCACCCCAGCATCCAGTTTTTGGACTCAAGTTAACAGTCTCACTTGCCCCTATACCAGCCTCCAGATCTGGTAGTTAGCTGCTGTGCTTTCAGCAATTTGCTGGCTCTCTGACAACCACTAATGTCACATGCCTAATCCCCTAGGAGCTGGGATGCTGAGGATAGTCGAAGATAGTTCCAGCCTTCTGGAACCTCTAATAAAACACAGACTGATCTCACTGTTCTCCAAGAGTGTCTCGCCAAGAAGGGCTCCATTTCTGACTTCTCCATGTTCAGCCATGGTCCTACGGTGGTCCTCAGACACCTGGGCTCACAACCTTTAAATCACACTTGACTCACCCATCTCTTTGTTAATCTTTAACCATTCATATGTGGACATGTCCCTTCATTCCATTAAAATATCTCTAGTGCCCACTTGACCCTTTCCGTATTTACATAATTCTGAACTCCTCACTTCACATATAGTGACCATAGCCTACATCATTCTCTCCTAACACATCACCAGATTATCTTTCCTCAAGACAATTTAATCATGCCATCCTTTGCTTTAAAAGTTATGAGATGCCCTACAGCCTACCATACAAAAGGCACACTCTTTAACCTGACCCTTATGACCCTCCACACTTGGCCTCCACTTACTTGGTTTCTTGCTTCTCAATGCTGCCAGCATGGGCCCTCTCCTCCAATCTGTCCCCAAGCAAATGGTAGCCCTGCCTGTCCATGTATTTTGATCCTGCTGTAACCCCAACTTAGAGTGCCCTCTCATTCTGTCTGTCCAAACAAAATATCTAACCAAATTTTGGCCTCCAAGGCCTGGTGAAGACTCACCTCTTTCATGAAGCCTGCCTGAGTTGACCCACCCTCTTCTCATCTCCCACTGACCTAGAGTACTTAACTGCATCACTGATACTGAAACTTAATTACTTCATTGAGTTAATATCATGCTCAATTGTTCATTTTTATCAACAAACTTTTACTGGGAGTCTACTAATTTTAGGATCATCATGGGATATTCAGATATTTTTGTAGTTACTGTTTTATTTGTCTGTCTTCCACCACAAGATGTAAGCCAGTGAGGACAGAGGTCTAGCTGTTTTGTCTCAGCTGTATTCTAGATTATAAGAAATACAAAGCAAAGCATTTGACAAAACCCAACATCTCATAATAAAAATACACAACAAGTAAATTACATCTAAGAGAAGTAAACTAGCACAAACTGATGAAGAGTATCTATGAAAAATCCCCAGTCAAAACCATACTTAATAATGAAATACTAGATACTTTCCCCCTAAGATTAGGAACAAAACAAGGGCTCTCTCTTTAGCACAGTACTAGAGATTCTAGCCAGCACACACTGGAAAGAAGTAAAATTATCTTATTAACATACGACATGATCTTGAATATAGCAAATCCTAACAAATCCACACACAAAGTTAGAACTAGCAGACAAATTCATTGAGGTTGTAGAATACAATATGTATATACAAAAATTAATTGTATTTTTATACACTTGCAATGAATGAAGTTTTAACCCAGTCTCACGCCATATACAATAAACTCTAATCAAGGACTTGAATGTAAGAGCTAAAACCATAAAACATTTAGAAGAAAACATAGGAGTAAATCTTCATGATCTTGAATTAGGAAATGGTTTCTTAGATATGACAATAGAAGCACAAGCAATAAAATTTAAAAAGCTATAAATTGGACTTCATCAAATTAATAACTTTTTGTTTCAGGGACATTATCAATAAAGCCAACCACAAAATGAGAGAAAATATTTGTAAATCATATATATGATAAGGGATTTGTATCAAGAATATATAAAGAATTTGTACAACCCAATGATTAAAAAAATAATGCAAATAAAAAATGGGCAATTGATCTGAATAGACATTTCTCCTAAAAAAATATGCAAAGGCCAATAAGCAAATAAAAAATGCTAAACATCATTAATCATTAGGGAAATGCAAGTGAAATACCACTTCACATGGACTAGAATGGCTTTAATAAGAAAGATGGAAAATAACAAGTGTTGGTGAAGATGTGGAGAAACTGGAACGCTTATACATTGCTGATGGGATTGTAAAATGGCATGGCCACTTTGGAAAACAGTATGGCAGTTCCTCAAAATGTCAAAAATAGAGTTACCATATGATCCAGCAACTCCACTCCTAGGTATGGGCCTGAGAAATTGAAAATATATGTCCACACAAAATCTGTACATGAATGTTGATAGCAGCACTATTCATAATAGCCAAAATATGGAAACAACCCAAATGACCATCATCTGATTACTGGATGAATGAGTGTGGTCTATCCATAAAATGGAATGTTATTCAACCACATAAAGGAATGCTGAATATACTATAATATAGATGAAACTTGAAAACATTATGCTTAGTGAAAGGAGCCAGATACAAAAGTCACATATTATGATTCACTTTATTTAGTTTATTTATTTATTTTGAGAGAGAGAGGAAAAAAGAGGGAGAGACAGAATCCCAAACAGCTGACAGCACAGAGACTGATGCGGGACTCAGACTTATGGACTGTGAGTTCATGACTTCATCAAGAGTTGGATGCTTAACCTGCTGAGCCACCTAGGTGCCCCTATATGATTCACTTTATATGAAATATTCAGAATAGGTAAATCTATAGAGACAGATTAGGGTTTGCCAGAGGTTGGAAGGAGGGGGAAATTGGGTGCGACTGCTAATGGGTATGGGGTTTCTTTCTTTCTTTCTTTCTTTCTTTCTTTCTTTCTTTCACACATTTATCTTTGAGAGACAGAGAGAATGTGAGTGTGGGAGGGGCAGAGAGAGCAGGAGTCACAGATTCTGAAGCAGGCCCCAGGCTCTGAGCTGTCAGCACAGAGCCCAACACGGGTTCAAACCCATGAACTGCTAGATCATGACCTAAGCCGAAGTTGGACACTCAACCAACTTAGCCACCCAGGCACTCCAGGTATGGGTTTTTTTATAAAAGAAATATAAGCATAATAATCAGCACATTGTAGGTATCAAAAGATGTTTGCTAGTTTGAATAGTGTTTTCTATTTTTTCCATAATCACTCTGCATTTATTTCAAATTCAACCAACACCTCATTGAAGGCCTGCCTACTATGTGCTGGGCACCATCCTAGGCACTATCCTAGACATTCTGTCTAATTGAGTCCTCACCACAATGTTAGAAGGATGAAATGTCATGTCATTCACACTTGGAGATGGAGAAACAAGATTCAGGCAGATTAAATGTCTTGTCTAAGGCTGACCCTAGCGTTACTGGCCCAAGTCCCGTGCTCTTTCCTTTAGTCAAAAGTTGCTGCCCATTGCTGTTCATCACTCATGTTCAGAAAGGACATCCAGCCTACTGCTAGCTGAGAAAGCACTTGGCTTTCCCCGGTCGTAGAAGAGCTCACCCCTTTTGGAGACCAGCTGACTAGACAGGTCACTAACTGGCTCCAATTCAGGTTGGGCACATTACCTAGACTCCTCACTAGGTATGGCAACATCTGCCTGACAGCAAGCACTGGGGCCAAATCTCATCCTCTGGATACATCATGGGTCAAGTTAACCTCTGCGTATAATGCTGGGATTATTCTTCACCCCACACACGAGATGTTCAAATAGGAAGTACATTTACTATTGAGCATATTTGTTCTCCTTGATGTGAAGGGATTAAGGGGGGTGAAATGATCAGGGAAATAGAAAGGAAATTATAAGTAGAATTTTCAAAGTAATTAATCTCAGTATCAATACTAGAGAGACACTCCCGCATGAGAGTACAGAGGCATACAGAAGAATGTGCCCTGCAGCATTGCTTATATAACTGGAGAATGGGAAACAACCTAAATGCCCATCAAAATGGGATGGATAAATAAATTACTTACACCAGTACTATGGAGTACTATGCAAAGTGGAAATTTTTGAGGTAGATTTAAAGATACTAACTGGCATAGGTAGAGAGCTCCAATCTCTCTCAACATACTGTTGAGTGAAAAAAAATCAAGTGTAGAAAAATATGTACAGTGCAATTATACCATGATATTTATACCAAAAAAAAGGTAGTCTTACACTGAATATATATATAAATACAAAATAAATATGTAGACAGAAGACTAATAACCATGATTTTTCTTAGATATGACCACAGTGGCTTCTCTGGAGATGAGGCTGGGGTTGGGTGTGGTGGTCAAGGGACTTAACTTTATCCTTAATTATTGTCTTATTTTACTTCAACTGCATATTCATATATTTCTTGTGTAGATAAAAATTATTTTTAAATTTTTTAATATTTATTTTTGAGAGTGAGAGTGGGTGGGGGAGGGGCAGAAAGAGAGGGAGAGAGGAAGAGAGAGAATCTCAAGCAGGCTCTGTGCTGTCATTGCAGAACCCAACTCTCAGGCTCTATATCATGAACTGTGAGACCATTACTTGAGCCAAAATCAAGAGTCAGATTCGTAACCAGCTGAGCCACCCAGGCACCTCCAAAATTAAAAAATTTAAACAAAAATAGTAAGTGCAGGTGAGGCCATTAAATATGTAGAGCTTTGAGCTCATTAGAAATTGTTTAAATTAACCAACTAATCTTCAAACCAGCTTTCTAGAGAGGAAGCTGATTGATATAGAGAGAAAAGTGGTGAAAAGATTAGCTGAAATGAGGAACACACCTTCTGAAGTGGGAGAAAAGAGAACATATGAAGATGCAGAGAATTTCAGAGCTGGAAGACAAATTCAAGATCGTCTTGTCTCACCCCCCAAACCCCCCACCCGCCACCGTTCATGTTTCAGGCATGGGAGCTGGGAACTAGAGAAGTGACTCGCTAAATGTTAAGGCGTCAGCAAGTGGCAGAGAACAGGATCCCTGACCCACTAATCCCTGGCCCTGCCCCATCCCATTGGGTTATGGAAGCAGGCGTGCTGGTACACAACTGTTTGACTATGTTTACCAGCCAGTCTCCATCTTGTCTCCTGGGTCTCAGGCTACCAACAAACTCTGAAGTTTCTGGGTTCTTTCTGACTCAGTTCTTTATTTACTCCTTTCTTCCTCTGAATCCATTCTGCCTTTGACTTCCTAAAGTCTCTCTGTCTTCCTTCTCCCTTAGCTCCCGCAGCCCCTTGGGCCTCCCCTACCTTGCTCCATGACCGCTGTCTCTGGTTCCTGGGCCCCTCTTCACAGACAGCTAGGTGGCATGGAGCTTCAGGAAACTAGTTCTGGTGTTTTTGCTTCCCCTTTCATCCTTAAGACTCTAGGAGACACTGAAGGCAGGGTGGCTGCCGCACTGCCACCTGCTTACTGGGCAGATCACAACTGGTTTTCTCACTTGCCCTCAGGTTTTTCTTGGCAGTGTTGCTAAGCTGGGAGGAAGTGTGGAGGCCAATGAAATCTCAAGGCCTTATGCCATCTGAGCATTTGATAGCTCTTGGGCAATGGGGCATTCTACAGCAGGTGCTGTACTATAGTGAGGGAGCCAGGCGGGAGAAGTGAGCTGATGGGGCCTCTCCGGGGATGCAAGGGGCTATGCCCCTACAGAAGGAATACCAGGGTCCCAGGACTACAGCTCACAGCTAGGAGAGCCTTTCAAGCCTAGAACTCAGGTTGGCTTTTATCCTGAAGGGTCACTTTCTAGATGTCAAATGCAAAGAGAACCCACTCTGGATCACCCTTGGTATGATTTTTTGGTATTCATTTTGGAGCAGGAAAGTGTGTTGGGTGAGACTGGCCAGTTGAAGATGAATCTCAAGTAAAAGCAGTAGAGAAAATAAACTTGGGAAGATGCCTGGAGGGGTTTTGGAAATAGGTAAGAAGGTGGGAATGCCAGTGAATGACTTTGGTTCTATTAAGAACAAACAGTACAAGTCCAGATGGAAGGAGAGAGACGGAAGGAGGGGAAAGGGCTCTTCCCAGGGAGTGGACAGGACACCCTAAAGGCCCCTGCCCACACCCCATCCCCACCCTGCTTTTCCCTCTTGTGGGAACTTCTCCTGCATTTCCTGCTTTCTGGGTTCCTTAACCTCCCTCCTCAGAATCCTCACTCACCACCATCTGCCCTTCCTCCTGTATTTTCAACTCTCTCTGTTCCCAGTCTGCTCTAATAGTATTTGTATCCATGCACATAGACAATTCACTGCTTCACACACCCATCCACCTTCATTCCAGAATGGCACCCCTTCCCTCTCCCCTTCCTCCAGCATTTCTGGTCTTGACAAGTGAGCATGGTGCCCTTCCAGTCACTCTGAGAGAAACCTGGGTGCCAGCTCGTATTTCTCTGTCTTCCTGACCTCCCTTAACCTTAATCAGCCTCACCAGTCCAACTCCTGATTATCTCCTAAAATTACCCTGATCTCCCTGGGCCCTTGGCCCTGCCTTCACTGAAGCACCCCCTTGCCTGGACAACAACTCCTAACCAGTCTCCCACCCATCCTTTTTCCAAATGAGCCATCACTGATGTTTCTGAAGTGCCAGTTCAGCCAAGTTGCTCCTGACTTAAAACCCAACAGCGAGTTGAGTCCAAACTTCTCAACATTGCCCACAAATCTCTTCAGGATCTCTCCTTCCTGCCTGGAGTCCATTCAGGCCAAATATCTGCCATTCTCAGATGCAGACCTGCTTTCCTGCACCTGTGTTCTTGCACCTGTCAGGCTCTCTTTCTGAAATGCCCTTCGCTGAGTTGTCATGTTTCTCAGATCCAGGCTCAAGCACTGCCCCTCCAGGAAGCCTTCCTAACACCCTCTCTCTACCACACCAGGCATTTAGGGGCACCCCCTTTTCATTCCTTATTAGGCTACTCATACTCAATATTATAAATAATTGATGTATTTCCCCATCAATCTCCCTGTAAGGCATGGCTTATATCTTATTAATCTAACCCCAGTGCTTACTAATGATAATGGCTAATAGTAAACTACTAGAAGGACTAGTGACATCTTTTCAGTTCCAGTGCATTATCCAATTAATCTTCATGCCATCTCCCTGAGTTAGGTACTTTTATTGTTCCTATATTACAGGTGAGGAAATCGAACCTTAAAAACATTAAATAGTTTTCCCAAGATCACTAAGAACTAGTGGAACTAGATTTTGAACGCAGAAGTCAGACTCCAAAGTCCTGTGTAGTGCTTAATGCAGTATCTGAAGGATGGCCAGTTTTCCAGTTCATATGAACAAATGGATAAGTGCCTGAACCCAGTGCCACATTAGTGGAAATGGGTTAACCTGGGGAGAAGGAGGAAGCATAGGCAGGAGAGCTTAATTGTGAGGAGAGACAGGAAGGTGAGTGCAGAGAGGGCAGATGGGTCTAGAAGAGTTGTGGTAGCCAAAGAGGAAGGTGTCCAGTGGCCATCTGATGACAGCCTATTTCATGGCACTGGGATAAGGAGCTGACTTATAGGTTTAGCTTTTCATTTGATTCCTACAGACCATTAGTCAGAAGGTGTGGGTTGTGTGTGTGCTGGGGGAGGGAGGCAACTCTAGTCAGAGAGACTTATCCAGGATAAGGGAGGCAGAAGAGAGCCAGGGAAGCCGAGCACAGTTGATGGGCACCTTCAGGGAAGCAGGGCTGTGACCTGTAGGGGAGAGGCACAGAGCAGATCCCGGGACACTCAAATAGGGAGGTGTGGGCTCTCCTGCCATCCCCCTGAGCCAGCTCTACCAAGATGGGGGTTGGGTACCTCCAGGCCTTTCTAAGACTCAGAGAGACTAGGATGCTAACCTTTGGCCCTGCTATGAATTCCCAGTATGTCCTTAGCCACGTTCCAGTTTCCTTGTCAGTAGAATCAGGGCCCATGGCCTCCATGGGTGCCCAGGTCTGGGAGGAGGGTGGAGTTTCCCCCCAGACAGTAGCAAAGAGAAGCCTGAACTGGCAGATCCAGGTGGGTTCCTTTGCCTCCTCCCTATTCTTTTTTTTTTTAAATGTTTATTTATTTATTTTAGAGAGAGAGAAAAAGAGAGAGAGCAGCAGAGGGGCAGACATGGAGAGAGAATCCCAAGCAGGCTTTGCACTGTCAGCACAGAGCCTGATGCGGGGCTCAAACTCACAAACTGAGATATCATGACCTGAGCTGAAATGGAGAGTCAGACGCTTAACCAACTGAGCCACCCAGGCACCCATGCCTTCTCCCTTTTCTACAATCAGAAATGGAGACAGTCACCCGGGAGAGGTGATTAAATGGATCAGGGACCTCTGCACGTGAATGCAGTTCACAATTTACAAAGCCCTTTAGAATGCACTGTTTCATTTGATCCTCACAGCAACCCTCTGGGGGCTGGTGCTGCTACTATTGTTGGTAATATCTTGCACCTGAGGGACCCAGGACTCAGCTGGCTCCAGAGCTCTGTGCTTTATATCATACAATGACACTGAGCAACATGGGGAATTGCTGGGGAAGACCAGCAATCAGACCTGGGGGCTAGTCTGCTTTGTGCTCCCTGTTCCAGAGCTGGGACATTTCTTTCAGAGTTTATCTGGGGGCACCACTGCCTGGGAGGCCAGCACACCAGATTTTATGAGACAAGGAGAGGGTGAGGACAGTGAAGCAGGGTTGGTCAGGACCTAATCTCAAGGTGCTCTGTAGCAGGGGGCATGAACCCCAGTTTCCTGGGCCCTAAGGGGCTTTGGAGCTGGAAGAGACTTTGAGATTGTCTAGCCTGTTCAACTGAGGCAGGGAAATGAAGCCAGACAAGCTTGCCTACATGGAAAGAAAAGAAAAGAAAACACTATAGAGTATAGTTTTTTAAGCCAATTTTTGTGTAAGGAGAGTGGAAATTTTGAAAGGTCAATTGGAAAGGTAGAAATGGCTAATGCCCGCATGGAAGGCCCTTGAAGACCCAGTAGGAAGCCTCTCCACTGTTCCTCTCCAGTGACACAGTGACACTGCCAGGCCCCCAGGCTGACCTGACAAGAGGGTCAATGACTAAACAAAGGAGGCCCAGGCACTTGGCAGGTGGAGCAAGGTTTCAGATTTCTGCAGGAGCCAGCTTGGGTTCTCCCATAGCAGGTGGGTGGGAGCCACCTGGAACATAGCAGTGACAAAGCAGTGACAGAGCCCCACAGAAATGCCCAATGGGATTCAGTGGGGACAGGCGCAGCCAGCACACAGGATGGAGGTCGGGCATGCAGGCTCTAGACCTTCCTTCACAAAGCAGCCTGCTAAAGCAAAATAAATTTTAAAGAGCAGAGAGAGGAGAACGATGAGGGGGAAGAAGAGGGGGAGAGTGGAGATGAGGAAGAGATGAAGGGGAAGGAGGAGGAGAGGGAGGGGGAGGAGGAGGGAGAGGTCAGAGGGTGGTGAGAGAAGCCAAGTGAACCTGCAGAGCCACTGAGCAGGTGAGGAGTGGCAAGGAGGAAGGGCCCATGTCTGAAAACCTACAAGAGCACGCTCCTCTTTTCTGTGTTTCTGAAGTTTCCAAAATTTCCATGATGCAAATATGCCAATTTATAATGATAACTATATTTTAATTTTTTTAATTGAGATATAATTGGCATAATACTATTGTGTGATCTTAAGGTCCACAACATGTTGATATGATACATTTATATACTATAGTATGTTACCACCGTAGTGTTACTGATACCTCCATCATGATACAGTTATTTCTTTTTCACAGTGAGAACATTTAAGACCTGGTCTCTTGGTAAGTTTGAAGTATAAAATACACTATTGTTAACTATAATCACAATGCTGTGCATTAGGTCTCCAGAATTTATTTATCTAGCAAGTGGAAGTTTCTTCTTTTTGGCTAACGTCTCCCCAATTCCCACACCTCCAGCCTCCAGTTACCACTCTGTTTCTAGGGTTCAGCATTTTTAGACTCCACAGATAAGTGATATCATAAAGTACTTGTTGTTCCCTGATTTATCTCTCACTTAGCATAATGCCCTCAAAGTCCATCCATGCTATAGCAAATGACAGGATTTCCTTTCTTTTTCATAGTTGACTAATATTACTGTGTGTGTGTGTGTGTGTGTGTGTGTGTGTGAACAACTTTGTCCACTCATCCGAGGACAGACACTTGGGTTGTTTCCATATCTTGGCTATTGTTAATAATGCTGCAGTAAACGTGGGAGTGAAGATATCTTCTCAAGATAGTGATTTTATTTCCTTTGGATAAATATGCAGATATGGGATTGTTGGGTCATATGGTAG